ACATTAAAAAAAAAAAAATAAAAAAGGGTAGAACATCTTCTGAATTGTTCATAGAGTCCTTGAAAGATTTCTTACAAACGAAATTGGATATGACAAAAGCATATAATTGTAATTAGGATAGGAATTAATAAATTGACTTGAAGAAATTATGTATTGCCTATTTTAGATTATTTAGGACAACCCAGGTCCTTTGTGTAGTGACAAACCTGAAGGAAAAAGCCTAGTAAACAAAAAGCGATCCACTTGAGAGGAAAATACTACAAGTATATGTATTTACATACAGGGGTGCTAATGAGATTAAAAGCCACTAGAAATTGATCATAGCATAAAAACAAGGTAGAACTAGAAGATAATCCACATCTCAGTTCTGTCTCCCAGCAGTTATCAGCGAAGCAGAGGTCTGGATGTGTGCATAGATTACTGCAAAGCAGAAACTCTCTGGTACAGCAAGAAAGGCACGTGCTGCACACTTGTTTGAAATAAAGAGGTGCTGAATGAAGGACTTGCATACTGAAATGTTGTATACTGTTAAGACTGTAAGGACTAAGTGGTTCCAAGTAAAATACCAACCAACTCATCACTGTTAGGAGGGTTGGGATAGTAGTACCAAACAACGTTAAATATCCAGGAAGGGCAATCAAGGTATTGTATGTTGTACCACCAGCAAGAAGGCTATATCTCTACTAGTAAATAAAATTGGTTATGGGCTTTTCTTTGGCCTATCCATACATTAAATCATGTTACAATTTAAAGCAGAGTATCCATATAAAACCAGCACAAAAATATCTACCAGAGCAGAAAGGAAGAACAGAAACTAATACAAGTCTGTCCATCTGGACTTGGGATCAGCTGTCTGCAATACCTTATTTTAAAAACAGACAATTAAAAACCAGTCATCTTAGTGATTATTTCTGGTCATCAATTATACGGTCCAAAATTAATATCAATTATCATGATCTTCAAACACAAACATAAGCACAGCATTTATTTCCAAACTACTGTTGTTCTTTCTTATTGCAAAAGCAGAAAAAATTTTGATTAAAGTAATTTGGTTTTCAAATCCTTTGGGTTTCTTTCTTTGAATTATTTTTCTTTCTGCTTAGCATGCCTTTTTTTCTGATTGATAACACAATATACAATGACCCACCAAAACCGTGTTCCGAGGAGGAATTTTAGGTGTGATAAAAGAAATAAAAAAGCTGCACTGAATAGAGGGAAAAAAGAATCCACAGCAATGATAATGATCTGAAAAATCAATTAATTATTATTCTAGATCTTTCTGTTAGCACGGTACAAATACCATTGGCACCTCATTTAATAATACTACAAGGTTTAAGCATTTCTGCATGTTGCATTTTTATTCTCTCCCAAATATCCTTCTAAGTCTTGAGTTTGCAGTATGTGCCTGCTGAAAAATAGCAGTCTAATCAATTACCCTGCCTAAAAAACTAAATTATCAAAACATGATAGTTCAAACAAACTCTGAGGTAACACTTAACATCCAACCAAAACTGATGGAAGACATTCTTACTGGAATGTAAAATGCAAACATGCAAACAATCCTGGCTGAAGTTTAAACTGTGTTTGTGAACAAGCAAAGATTTGATTGAATTTTCTCAAAGCTGGATGTTCAAGCTTTTGCCCTGGATAGATATTTGTAAACATTTTCTGTCTGGATCTTTGCTATTGCAGTTTCAGTTTCAGAAATGGAAAAGGTCATGTAATTTCCAATGTAACAACTATCTGAAAAACCCATGCTAACTTGTGCCAAAAAACCCAACCCAATCCAACAACAACAACAAACTCACAAAAAAAATCCAATTTCAGTCTTGCCTATGGGTTCACAGTAAGTTTAATGATGGGAAAACAGATTCACTAAATCTCTTAAACTGCAGGGATTGATATAAATGGTATGGCCAGCTGCCCAAAATATTCACACATATTTATTGAACCAAAATATGGACATTTAGGTACACAAGTACAGGTACATACTCTGACTGTTTTCATAGATTTCTTCTGTATATTTTTTTTCAGTTGGTCAAACTTCTTTAAAATTTATGTTCACTTAATGCTCTGACAGTTCAGAAACAGAAAATGAAAACTAATCATGTGGAATTCAGAAAGCCCTGTGCATGTGGGAAAATTGTTGCTTTATGAACTAAACTGGTGAAAGCAAGAGTATGGCACTTAATATGCAATAACCACTAGTTATGGTGAGAAAAAGGCAACATTTTTCATAATATAAACACTGAATGGTATTACCTAATATTATATATTAAATGTCTATACATTAAACCATGCACTGTGTACACAAACACACACACACAGCCACTGTCATGAGAAAATATGCAACTTTCCCCAATAATCCAGGGAAGCAAGGTACAGTTAGTTTTCCAGAATACAGTCACCTTTATTATCATACAAACACTATTAATTTATTTTGTTGTATGCATCATACCACCAGTGTAATGGAAAAATTAGAAAAAGATAAATTCTAGGTCATCCCCGAGCCTGCTGTCTGTTCATAACCTTTCCTGCTGCTCCCCTCATCTAATTCTCCTTTCCAGGGATCACTTTTAGGCAGAAGACACCAGTACCTTACCTACAGATCTTACAGTCTTCCCTGAAAGCTCTTTCTGAAGCCCAGCAACTTTTGATAAACTGCCTCCTACAGCCAGCAGAAGGGCCAAACTGACCAAAAAGCTCCTATTTTGCCTAGATGCAGTTCTGTACTGCTACTTAATAACTGCACACGGATTCACTGATGAACATGGAGCCATGGACTAAGGCTCTTTTTGAAATTACTATGATGAAAGTAATCTGAAGAAAATTTTAATTTTTTAATGTATGGCTCAGCTTTTTAACTTGCAGTTTTAGTTTTTACTTTGATCTAAGCATATTATTTCATTAAAGAACAATCAACCCATTTAAATTTGTACTCCCTAATTTCTCAGTTTGTTCACTGGGATCTGAATAAACCTAAAGATCTAATCAGATGATGTGACGAGTTAGCACGATTTCCATAATATTCACTGGGTGTTTAAAATGCTTACAATATCCTGGGATCAACTCTTAAGTGTTCCTGCCTTTTCTTTCTGATCCTATCCTTTTCTATTTCTCAAAAATAGAGGTTTTCCTTGTTTTAACTGGAGTTGAAATTGGTGTGATTCTGGCTCCCCAAAATCAAAACCCTTCACCTCACACCCAGCAATCTAATGTGTCAGGGCCCTGGCACACGCATAAGATTCATCAGCCAATGTTAGCAAAGTTCTCAGAATAGTATTCTTTAGCTGGCCCTTGATGCCAAGCCAACAAAAATAGCATGGATTATTTTTATTTATTTCAGTCTATACCTTTAATATTTGATGTACTGATTGAACAATATGAGCAACAAAGCCTGGCGGGGGCAGGAGGGAAATACAGCAGATACAGAGAAAATTAAAAGACAGGCAGATAAAAGAGAAGGCCGTGATGAATAGCACTATTATCTGATGATTTCTTATTTCTTTTGCACACATACAGGGCTAGGCACAGTCCAAGGTCTCCAAACCAGACTCATCAGTGGAACTAAATAACCCTTTGGTGTCCACATGGTTACAGTTGCAGCCAACCCTGCAGGATCCCTGTGTTAGCTACATAAATACTCAGTTAGTTCCCCCATCAAAGATTTTGCATCTGAAGTAGAGTTCTGCTATCAGCTCGGTCACACTTAGTTCCTGCAAAGACACCCACTATTTATATGCATTTACCCCAAGCTTTCAAAAACTGATAAATTCTAACCTAAAGAGAATTGCAGGATATTCTCCTGGTGACTTCAGTACCAACAACATTAACCCAGTCTTGAGCAGCTCAGAAAGGCAGACCTTTCTATTGCAGTCCCCTGATGTTCACACTGAGTATAAGCTGCATTCCTCAGGACAGGTAACCACTAATCACTAAGGGTGAGGAAGAAACTCTTCCCTCCACTTAGAATGCTCTTGACCAGTTTGGGTCTTCCTGCTCTTAAAGTAAGAGTGCTGATACAACTCTTCACAAACCTCCCCCATATCCAAAACAATAGTCTGTACTCTTCAAGAACATTCAACAAAGTACACACATTTACACAATTCATCACGGAAGTGATATTTTGAGAAAACGTAGAAAAATAGGGAAAAATATTTCAAAATGAGAAGAGTTTTATTGTGTATTTATTTTTATAAATTATAGCAAAGGCATCTAGCTAAGCCTCTGACAAAACCATTATTATTATTTCTATGTATCTATGAAAAGAAAATAAAAAGGCTTTTTGTGGGATGTTCTTTAGCATCTGTACCAGTCACAGAGACAGTCAGCTTGCTACACTACATATTAATTGATTTGCTTTGTTATTTCAGATGGAAAAGAAGCATCAATCCCAACGTGTTTCTTTAAACCGCTATCATGATACAGAATAGAAATATCTGAGCTATTCAGACCTGTATCAGGAAATGTTTGTTACATATGACAGAATCATAGTGCTGTTATAGAAATGTACGAGTGAGTTTCCCCACCAAATCAGAATGCCTTTTAGTGTTAAAATGACTACCAACAATTTCTAAAAATAGATGTACACTTATTTCCATTTTTAAAAAGTAGTAGCTCTATAGAAATCTGTCCGTTTCAGAGTTTAATGGAGATTAATATTAATTTTACCTTTAATTCAATTTAAAAAAAAAAAAAAAGACAACACACAAAGCCCAACTTGTACCTAGTGACATTTTTTCAGTGGAATTAATTATCCGCAGAGAAGCACATGAGAATTATTTATTTTTTCAGAATTTCATTTTAACAAAAATAAGTATTGTTAATTGTTCAGAATGACTTGTCAAACTGAAAGCTTACTTTGAGAATGAAGTTATCTATGTACCATGTGATTTGACATGAATAATTACTATTAGCATAATAAAAACTGCAATTAGGACTCATCACATAACTATAGTATCTCCATCTTTACTTCCATTTCTTTCATTTATGTTTTTTAGTTACACTTGAGAATGAGCATTAGAAAAGACAAGCCAGAAGGAGAAGGCAATAAACCTAAGGTAAACAAGAGTGATTTATTTCAAGAATGGAAAACTGGTGATTGATGCAAAGGAGGATATATTGCTTTGCTTTATCTTGTTACAGAAGAACAGTGCAAAGAGAAGATTTCTGAAGAGGAAACAACCTACATTGTCATAGAGTTCTGCTTAAACCATGGGTATGTCTTTGTTTTATGGGTTGCAATTGCAAATAAATTAGAATCATTAAGGCTTAGATTTTGAAAAGAAAACAAATGCTTATATGATGTCTTCTTGCATATACTCTGAACAAAAAAAAAAAAAAAAACAAAGGAGTATGCAGAGGTGAATATATACAAAAGTAAAAGGGATAGATTTTGCACTCAGTCATTTAAAAAAATGTTCATAGGGTCTTTTTGTAAAACAAATAGTGGTGACATAGTAGCAAATTAAGAAAACCATTTAAATGCTGTGGCTTGCAGCAAAATTACTAAAGAAATGGAATCCCTTCAAAAGCCTGCTTCTGTATTCTAAAAGAAAACAGAAACTCTGTCCTCCTCCCCACTTGAAAGAGAAATTCCAGCAGTTCTGCTGCTGAGTCAGTGTTCTTTTAATTAGATTTTGGCATAGCCATTCACAGTCAGGACATGCAGTATATTCCCAGTTACAGAGGGTAGGGTGACTAGCTCTAAGTATGAAGGTTTTTAACAATGCCATTATTTAGATGTTTTGTTCAGAATCAAAATTCAAGTTAACACACTGAAAGATGGGCTGGTTATCTCAATTTTTCTTGCATCATAGTCAGCCAGAAAAACACTATTTAACACCTCTCTAGTGACAGCTTGGTTCTCTACTGACTAAAAACTGCAGTTTAGCATCCACTTGTTTCATTTTCACTAAAAAGATAAAGAATATACTTACATTTAAAAATTCCACTTCTGTAAGTGGACTGGAAGAATAACTTCTAAAATTAAACTCTCTGTGTTAGAGGACAAAGTATTCTTGTTCCACGTATGCCGTATACTTAAAGACAGACATGAAGTATGGCTCAATAAAATACAGTAATTGTCCATGAAAATTATTAAGATAAACCTAAAATCTGTGCAGTGAAGCACAGAAAGGCCTATCTTTTGTTCTTGAATGTCATAGAGAAAAATATGTACTTCAAAATAGTAGAACAAATGGTTGAGGTTAGGAAAGAGCCTGACAAAACCAAAACTGAATTGTCTAGTTTATACTACTAGGAGGAGATATGAAGATTCATTTTGCATCAGCCTATCACATATTAGCAGGTGGTGAATGAACAAAGATTAATACAGGTAAGAAAAGAATGCTGGCTTCAAAACATGCCCACGCTGATTTATTATAAAGTACCACTGCAGTAACACTTAAAACAGTTCAATTCCAAATCGACTGTGGGAGGGATTAGTAAGAAGCAGCTTGTCTTTGAGCCTGTATGTTTCTTAAGAGTTGTTTAACAATAAAAAACACCAAGCCCTGTCAGACAAACTAATCTGTTTATTATCAAGGAACCACTTACCATTTCTCTACTGAGATGTACTAGGATAGAGATGAGGGGCATAAGCCATGGATCAGCACTTTCTTTGTTGGTAAAATAAAATAAAAAGAGGGCTTATGTCCTCAAAACTTTTAAGTGGGAGGGAAGAAAGAGCTGAGTTTATGCTAAATTCAATTGTTACTGAAATGTCCTACATTCCCAAAACCTAAACAAATAATATAAAGCCCCACTCAACCAAGTTTTTAGTCCTGAAGATATCCAACCTACATATAAGACTATAACCATAACTTCCAATTCATCACATTTTCTCTTATTAGCAGTAAAAGGCATTACATACTATAAAGTACATCCATCACTCAATGCTACAAAACAGAGCTGATGGACCTTCTCAGCTTTCCCAGTGTCTGCTGGGCCACTTGTTATCAAAATGGTGTCAATGCCAGAGGAGAGCTGTGCTCTCTTGCTCTGTAACATTTGAAGTTCTCTTTTTCCTAGTTGTTTTTTTTTCCCCCCTGGCTTTAATCTGTGATGATAAGAATATGACAGAGCTCCGCAACATTAATTGCATTTCATTGTGTCTTTTAACCCCTTCAGAGATGGGTGTATTTTTAGCTGTTGAGGTAGCAGCCACATGACCAGCTGAAAGGCATGGCCCGTTAGCAGTTTGGAAAGGTGGGGCAAGAAATACCTTGGGAAAATAATGTCTGAGATTGATCCCTCAGGTTCTTCAGTACCACATACTAGGTACTCTAAGCAACATGAACTCATTTTTTTCTGTTATCATAACAGAACTAATACTTCTGAGGATTTTGAGTAAAATACTTCTGATGTCCTAACACCTGTCTAATGTTTAGCTAAAGCATACCTTCAGGGCAATGAAAGCAACAACAGAAGGGAGGGGGAAAGTAACAAATAGAAAACAATTGTTCTGTACTGCCTAAATTCTCTGAGAAAAGTGTCCTTGAATTTGTGTCTTCTATGCTGAGGAGTCAAGCTATTTTGTCCTTCCTCTCCCTCTGAAAAAGAGGAATCTCAAATTATACTGCTGGAGAAGACTGGATTTTTAGTTTTAAATTAAAGTGTTAGCAATATGTGGAAATTCTTGTAAAGAACAGTCTATTCAGGCAGTTTCTTGCAGTGACCAAACCCCAGATCTTTATTCTTACTGGCATTACCAAAAAATACCAATCCAATATATATGCCATTTCTTTTCTGAAGTACACTTATTAAACGACTACACTGTGAATTCTGCCATATCCCTGAGAAATTAACGTTTTGCTTAGAGGATAGCTCATGCACAGAACCTGCATGTTGAAGAGCCAAATAACAAGGAAAGTAGTTGGGTTTTTTCACTCAAGTAGTAATCCTCTACTCTCATACACACAGTAAGAGCTGTTCAGTTTTCCTTTGCACTGTATAAGCAGACAAGACTATATGGCTTGCACTCCGATATTCTGGTGAATTCTTGTTATTTGTCAGTTTGAAAATAATTCCCAAGGAAGAGCAAATAAAGTTCTGCTGAATTATTTAACTTGAAATGTTTGGGGGTTGTGGGTCTTTGTGTGAGATGGTGTGAAAATCGGAGAGCTGCCTAGAACCATGCAATTAAAAATCTCTTTGATATGAAAGGATCCTCCACTATTATACAGTTAAAACAAATGGAAATATAGTAACTTTGCTTCTGGAGAGTATATTGATGAGTTGCTTTCAAGACCACCAGGTTAGCAATAAATACCTAATTAGATGGGTAGTCTGACAGTTTCATTTGTACTCACAGACTCTGAGTGATGTGAAGACAATCAGTTTGGTTGTGGAATAAATTGTCTGAAATTTATTACTGAATTCAGAAACTGATATGAGAGGAACATCATGTTGAAAAATGTCCTGCCCCTTAACTTTAATTTCTGCATTACTCCCCTAAGTATTGAAACTTCAGAAAGAGGTTGTACAAGGATAAAAATATATGATCAAAAGTCTAACAATAAACATATGTAATGGGATATATAAGCAGTTCTAATACTAAACCTTAAGCAAACATTCCAATTTACTATAACATGAAGTGCAGTTAAGTGGGTTGGAAACTGAAGAATAACCTAAGTAATTATGACATTACTAGTAATTTACCATTCATAAAAAATAGACTAGCTAGAAGAGGTTTTCCTGGGAAAAAAATATTTTGCCAAATTTTCTTTACTACATAAGGTTCAAATTCATGTCTGTCTTAGAAAGGTTTGAGTTGATTTGCACAAGGCACAATCAAAGTCCTTTAAGGAATTAAAAAGCGTAATACTGAATAAAGGTGTTATTAGGTTCATTTTTGCACCTGACACTACAATTACAACTATATCAATGCAAACCTTAGTTAAAAATTTGTCAGTGAAAGGCATCCTGCAGAAAACTATTTCTAGGATTGCAAAAGAATTACAAAATCTCTAAACAGCATCTCCTGACACAGTATGTCATATGGAGCAAAAAAGCAATGATGTACAAATTAATAGCTAATATAGCTAATACTCTTGCTGTAGAATTAGTGTTAAGCAAATGCAAACAGTTCAAGTAGTTCATGTTACTGCAAGATTGTAGTTTTGCTAATAATTCAATAGGCTGTTTTAATTGCTACAGCTCAGCATAGTGTTTCTCTCAGTTCAAGGTCCCGTTAGCTGTCAACCACCTAACCTGATACTTTTCCACAGAGCTACTGAGTAATGAATGGCAGGAGAGAGGGCTGGTGTTTGTTGACTATGCTGATCTTTTTAAAAGTATGTTTACTTACAGATGATGCTCCACTTCAACTTATTATGCATTGACAGATTGGAAACATCAGTCACAATAATTTAAGCCTTTTCTGTAAATCAAAATCAGCTCTGATAAGAACAGAAGTAGCTCTGCTGAGATCAGCTGCTGGTGGACCATCTTAGGGCAATACATTTGAGCACTGTGTTATGAAACAGGATTCAGATACAAAATTATGACTAACTCTAATCTGAAATGTGAATTTGCTTGGTTTGTTTTCTTCCCCTGAGTTTAAATTAAAAAAACACATACAGTATTTTTCTCAGAATAAGAAAGTTTGAAACAGTTCAGTCAATAGGCATTGCCATTTCAGAAATCAATAACAATCACATGCAGAAGTTATAAAATGCATCACTTTTAGCAACTGACCTTCTCTCATCGTGGCATAAAAGAAGGAACTTTTTTACCAAAAGTTTAATTCTGTGGTAGTTGCCTTTAGTTGGCTTGAGCTGCACTACAGGAATACAGGAAGCATGGAAGACTGTCAAGCACTGACCTTCCTACAGGCCTTCCTGTCTTAAGAGACCAGACAACATGCACAACACAGTGAAAGAAGGTGCATCTTCCCAGAAGCATCATTTTGAGTAAAATCCTTCTGTCAAGAAAATATATACAGAATATGATTTTGGAGTTTTTTTCTCTTCACGTGAGGTTAATAATAGTACTTGTAACTTCAGATCCTTACAAAACAATATGTAAAGAATATAAAAAATTATTTTTCTATTAGCATCTTTTTTGACTAAAGTAGCCTCATACAAACAGGATGCGTAATCAGAATTTCAAAATAGATAGAATGACAGTACAGATTATGCAAGGAAAATCTTTTTAGGCATGGTTTCAACCAAATACTGAGCTTCAAATTCAATCGAAGTGTAGCTTTGTCATTAATTTTGACAGATGTTTATCCACTACTGTAATAATATAAAAGTTTACAACTTTTACATAATGTGTATTTGTACAGTGTCTAAAACAGTCTAGCTGCAGTGATTAGGCAGTGCTTCATTTAAAAATAAATAGTAAGGATAGTTATTTAAAACTTGTATTGAGGAACTACACAGTTGTAATGAGCTGGATGTTTCTGGAAGCCTACTAATGATGATGAGGCTTCGTCACCCCAACCTACATGAATCCAGTAAAATGTTTTTTAATCACATGATGCTTGCATCACTGTAACTTATGTGTATGTATATGCTATGCTATGGATAATATATTAGCTTAAAAAGTAACAGAATTTCTACACATGCACATACATAATGATCCTACAATGTTGCTATAAAATTTCAAAATATCCTCAAGAACAGCAATGAGTCCTGAATCTTCAACTGAGTTATTCAGCAGACAAAAGTTGTCCCTGCTTGAGAATCTTAACCTTTGCTTGCATTAGAAATCATTCCCCTAAGGTGCTGAAAACTAAGTCAGGTTGTAGGACATACTGGAGACAGAGGTAAATGAGCTTGATTTTCTATTAAAAAAAAAAAAAAAAAAAAAGAGAGATAACATACCTAGGATTCCAGAAAAGCCTTGAAAGAACTAAAAAGCTGTCTGTCAACAGTGCATTTTCACTAGTTCAGCAGGGCTGGTCTCCTTGAACAGAAGAGAGGCCTGGTTGTTAAACAAAGGGAAACAAAGCAGGAAGCATTTAAGAAATGCTTTAGTGTACATTTTTACAAGATTTCAAATACAGTGTATTGTGTATCTGCAAAAACACCATTAGCCTGACCGATTTATACTAATAGTAACTGCCATGTATTATCATTATTTTAGATAGGCATAAAACAGGAAGGAACTCAACGAGGAGAACAACAAAAACCTCAAAAATATAAAAAACTGCATCTTTACGTAAAGTATGTGTAACTAATACAGTGACTCTTGTTCCCCTACTGGGTATTTAAAGATCCAGTTAGTGTAAGCTATGAATCATAAGTCAGAAAACAATTATCTCTGACCCAGACATCTGCTTTCTTGTGAGGGGTTACAGAGCAACTGAGAAATTCTCCTGTCCTTTGGGTGAATCAATAGCTAGAGATGTAACAGGTTTAGAAAGATACACCAGAAAAATAGCATGCAATCTATTTCTTTTAATACAAGATACCTCTGCCTTTTTTCTACTGTCCTTTGTAGAGATACACATGATGACATCCTTGTTTTGATTTTTTCGTTGCTACTCTTTATATGAAATCAAACAGATCAGTTAAATGATAACTTCTGAGAAAGAGTCAAGAGGAAAAAAAAAATCCCCCTACTTAAATGGGAATACTTCACTGGGAATTGTTTGTAGTGGAAAAGTAGTCTAAAAGGTCACTATAGACAATCTTCAATTCTTCCCTCAGCCCCAGATGGTCTTTCAGTCAAATGCTGTATATCTCCTAAAAATCTGCTTTTAGAAAACAGAACAATTTTAACTGAAAAAGGAAACAATGATGAAAATAGTTGTTTAAAGAAAGTAAAAATACTTTAAAAATACAATAAGGTAGTTTCCATGGTAATTTTGTTGGTGATGGCATTGAAGTGACATCTGTGTGTTTTGATTTTTATATTAAGTTGATCTCTTTTCTGTGTTTACTTCCATTAATATTCTTGCTCTTTTAATGAATATTCATGAAGTGTGTGGAACTGCAGTCGTAATGAAGCCAATAGGTATTTGCCATTTACTTTTAGCAGTCAATAACAGTAAGAAATACAGACACATTCAGCCTAGCATTTTGTTTTTAACAATGGGCAGATGAGGAAGGTAGGTACCTTTAAGTAAGGTTATAAGACAGGGATACACTGATGACTGAATTCTTCTTGTATGATCTTTCCATATTTTGGCAGCCACTCAGCCTGTGGACAATAACAGCAGCCCAATAAATTTTAAATTAACATTATATATTATTTGCAGAAGTTTTTTAAAATTACTTTACTTCCGGATTCCCCTTCTCCCCCGTAAGTGGTGGATAAATGCAGTGGAAAAGGAAGCGTTTACAATATTTCTGTGAGCATTCATATTATAAACCTGGTGCTAGCAGTTTTGCATCCCCACAGAGAAACATTCCCTTTGCACCAACGAGACAATCAACCACATGCAACTTCAACAAATTGCTCACAAGCAAGCAATGAGAGCTAGAGTAATATGTGCACACTTTGCAAACTTTCAAATCGCTGAGATGTCCTGATTTTCACAGATAAATGCTCTTAACTGGCTAGTAGATGATTTCTTACACCAAGGATAGCATTTACATATTCTTAGGTTTCAGTGCTGTGGTGAGATACATAACTGAAATTGCCCATGTATACTTTATTTATTATAACATATATCTATTTTAATGTAAAATGGGGAGAAAGAAAGACCTAATGCAAGCAAAGATTTTGTCTGGGTGTTATTTTATCCCATCTTCCAAATCTTCTTTAAGTTTGCTGCACTGTACATGCAGCAAGAAAAATCATGGACATAATATATGAGTAAGAACTACCAATATCTAGATATAAATCAAGTATGTATTCCAGCCCTTTTCTAAACTGCTTATTTTATTCTGTCCTAAACAAATTTGAAAGTTGATTTCTTTTCTTTTCAGTCCTGGACAGGATTTGGCTGTTTGATCACCATAATTTAGGAGAGATTGAAAGAGACATCCTAATGAGAAATTCTGCAATGACTGCTTGCCAAGAAATCAATCAAGTGATCTCTTTCAAAGTCTATCACTAACCTCATTAAACTAGTGAGAAATGAAGCTGTGACTTTCTCAACCTCATTCCCTACAGGCTTCTGACACGCTGAAGGGCTAATAGTGAGGAACGCTAACTCTGCGTCCCCCAGACATGCACTGACAGGTCACAGGCTAGAGTCAGAGACACTGTGGATCTAATAAGGTCACAAAGATGAAAATGGCTAGTGGGGTAATGCCCCTTTAAAGACTTGCATTATTTGCATGTAGTTTGCTATGTAAAAATCAAGTGAACTTAAGAAAATGTCAGCTTCACCTTTCAGGCTCCCAGCCTTTATCTGGCTGCCAGTTACTACCATGATGATTCATCCTAATGAGTAGTAAACCACTATTAGTAGGTGCCCTAAATCAGCAGAGCAAGAGGCAAACAGACTGGCAGAAGACATTGTTTAAAGCACAGGCCCTCTTGAAGATAAGAAAACCCAAAGGAAGTGATAAGAAAGAATGCTATGTATCTGGCACATTATAATTCTGTTCTATTCACCTGGCTGCTGCAAGCAAGCATATATGAAGCTTGCTACTGACTTATATTTGGCTTACCATTGTCTGATCACCCTTCGTTCCTTCCCACATGATCAAACAGATATGACTTCTCTTTAAAATGTCACACATGGTGCCACACTTTCAAGAGGAATAATAGAATTTATTTTCTAACCACAGCATTAAACTTACAAACTACAGAAGCAATTGTCAAACAATTGGTATATACCAACAAAATCTCAAAGACTGACTCCTGAACTGTATAACACCAAATGTCTGCTATATTATTGAAGATCTCCAATTTAAAAGATTTTTCAGTACGTATGTTATAAAATATTTGTCCATCCACCAACTCTTAATCTTATGGAAAAACTCCCTAACCTCCAGAGCCTTAGTAATTTCTCTTATAGAGGAAATCATAAGAAATTAAGCGTTAGTGATTTGATTAAAGACTTTCTAAAATGAGAAAGGTTCTTTTTTTTGTGATTATAATGTTCATTCAGTTACATCCACTCATGCTGAGGTGCAGCACGAGACCTATGCTCTGTTCTGTTTAAAACATACTTAATCCCACAGGGCTCTCCTTGCATAAATCAGCTTGTTCTTCACATCTTGCAGCACTAAATCATGAGTGAACAATGTTATCAAGAGTTAGAATTAGATATCAATTCACTTAATGGAAGCATCTAAACAGCAGTCAGAGAAATATTACCATATTACCAACCTATGACTTACATGACACATCGTGAATCATATTGAAGATTCAAAGGTTTCAAGTATATACTCCCTGAGCCACAAATTCTTGACAAGGTTCTGAACATCTTGAATATAGATAGTCAATTTAATAAGAATTTGCACACTTTTAACTGTGCTGATATCTTGACAAGAGTATACTAAACTCAATATATTTCAAAGAAGCTTTCTTAAAAAGTAGTAAAATAGTTTGATCTTTCAATAGCAGTATTTCCTACTGAGGATAATCTTTTTTTTTTTTAATTAGTCTATAACATATAGGCATTCCTATAAGATAAATTTAGAAAAATCATAGCTTCCTATAAATAAGAAACACTATATAAGGGATTAATCAATGTTAATCCCACACAGTGAAATGACAGAAGTCAAAGAAAAGTATAACGTGATAGATACATATTTTGCTATTTAGTTTCTTTAACTAAACTTAACCTGGGCATCACATTCTGACCAGGCCAGCTGTAATATAATATTTCACAAGAGAAGGACATAGGCATAAGTGGATCTCAGAACTCTTTTCCATACTAACAGAAGACAGAAGCTCTTAGAAGAAGGTGAGAATTTCATTTTCTCAGTGCATGTACATCCAGGAAACCTTCAGAAGAAACCTAAAATTGAGGGCTCAATCTTAAGCATTAAAATGTGTGGATATGTGTGTTAAATTCTCTTTTTTATCACTTATTCAATAATAATCAGCATACTTTGTTTTCTGGTTCAAAACCAAGATGGTGGGACAACTCTATTTGCATTATTTTTAATTAGCTTAGCAGTACAATTTTAAAATTTTCTCTTTCTCTCTCTTTCAAATAAAGATGAAATAATCCAGAAACAATAACACCAGAATGATATGTGCATAACTGCAGCTACAGGAGTCATTGGGATTCAGATATCATAGAATCATTTGGGTTTGGGTTGGAAGGGACCTTAAAGATCATCTAGTTCCAACCACCCTGCCACAGGCAGATTGCTCAAAGCCCCGTCCAACCTGGCCTTAAACAGGCTCCTTACCATAGCTGAGGTAGAGGGTCACAGGCTGTGTTTTACCTCCAAATGAAGCTAAAAACAAAACACACTGATTTTGCAGTATAATGAATAAAATTACAGCAAAAATTGCTCAACAATACTATCCAGAACAGCACGGATCGCAGTGTCTTTACTGGCACTGCTGTTGCTATAATTATTTTTTATTATTAATTTGACTAGTCTTCAGAACTTCAGTGTCAGGAAGTTATACAAGTGCATAATACACTGTATGAGAAGAAACTACTTGAAAAAAACTGAGACAAGGCTCAAGAAAAGCATCTGTAGAAATGTTTATGTGAAAACTGGGAGCCCAGATCCCAAATTATCCTGAAATCTCTACTGAAGTTTCATTTAACACTGAAGGTACTCACACTAGAAAGAAATACCAGTTTTTCACTGTACAGGTCTCCAAAGATTTGAATACCCAAATGTAACCCAGTTTCAGTAGCATTGCTCAGCAGCTTTTCACATATACGCCTAGCTTGAATAAGTTTTCATAAGCCGTTCCTAGTTTGAATTCACTTTCATAATGCTCTTCCAAGGGATATGAAAGGATTATACATACTTAGGAGCATTTCTAAAAATGTTAATTTCACTGTTTAAAAAGGGTTTTTTTCCCCTTTTACTGAAAATTGAGCCTTTAATTTTTTTGTTGTACCACTACTAGGTATGCACCACTATTTGGGGAAGAATTTCAACAGCATGAGAGACTCCTCACCCTCTCCCTTGTTCCTTTCTCTCTATCCCATCATGATGGTTAGGGCATCCTCAAGAACCACATGCCAGGAAGATTAACATCTTTGGTCAAAACTGAAAAAAGAACCTGGGCCTCTCATATCACAGTTAATAACTATAGTATCATAGTGACCATTTCAAGAAAGGAAATCCCTGCTTGGTTTCCCTGGGACAAAGTTCAAGTTATCTGTCAGTCCCAAGGGGATGAAAAGTGAGATTTAATCGCTACCAACAAAGATTTGAACATTTAGAAGTAACCTGCAGATGCAGAGTGAGGAGGTGCTCCTGGTGTGAGGGTACCACGACTTCCATCTGAGCTTGATATATGGGTTTATTTTCTCTGGAAAACAATGCAGGTGTAAGAAGCGAGGAGATGGAGACCAGTGAACATGTGAGGACCTAGTGTTATAGACTGCATTAGCACCTGGGGTGCCATAAAGAGTTCAGGGCCTCAGAAGCCATGAAGCACTGTGGAGTTCCCCAGTATAATCAGCGTTTCCCAACAGCCCTCAGACAGAAGTCTGGTGATTTTGGTACCCCACTTTAAGGCATTAACTCACCTGTGGTCTGTTGAAGGAGCTATTGTGCCTCTCACTATACCTAAAAGTGACATTTTACAACACCTCACATTTCAGTGACTTTTTAGGAATAAGTCTCAACAGAAACAAGGCTGAGAGGAACAGATGCAGGAACACAGAAAAGTGGTGAGATAATACTAGAGAGCATGCTAAGCAGTGATCTCCTGCTGAACTGCTGCTGCTGGCAAGCTTTTGGTAAGCCCCTAAAGCAGAGGAAATCTGTGATACAGGGCAGGCCTTCCACTAGCGGTGGCTAGAAGTGCAGTTATGACCAGAAGGGAAGATACACCCTCTACTGAAAAAAATATGTAGTAATAATTAAAATAGTAGTATATAAAAGTAGGTAGTAAGTCACAGAAAAACTCAGCTAAATATGTGACAGAATTTCCAATGTAAATGTCCTGTTCAATGTAACTATTACAATTCTCCTGTTGTACTGATGGTTTCTTTCAAAATAGTTACTTTGTCTTTGCCCTAAATTCTTACAGATACTGAGGATATTTTGTAAGATTTCAGATGACTTCCTTCCAACATAAGCTTTATTTCCTAAAATAAGCACAACCAGAGAGACAGGTGGTTCAGAAAACAAATCAGAGCCAGTGCAATTACAGCAAGACTTGACTTGTGTTCAGAATGTAGCCTGACTATCTGCAAAACAGATTCTAATTTAAATCCTAGTGGGAAATGAAGAATTAGAAATAGTTATCACTAACATGCTGTTCCTGTGTGTTATTTCATTGGATTTGGACATGCAGCATTAGGATATAACTGGGTGAGAGTATAAATACATTAGCATCATGACTACCCTTATTTTATTCTTGCACATCCTTAACTTTACTCATGTAAATGCACTGAAATCAAAGGGACTATTACTGTGATTAAGGTTAAGCAGATGCTAACATGATTTACAAAACTGAAACCCTAAAAAGCAAACAGTTTCAAAATCAAAAGGAGTAAACCCAGTCATCTCTGCTTTCCCTCCCCTCCTCTAATTTCTTTAAATTTTCTTTACTTTCAAAATCTCCTTCTGTAACAGCATCCATGCTATGTATGCTGCATGCCAAGGAGCTAGTCTTATATGTTATTTTCTTTTTGCAAACCTACTGATTAAAATAAGGGCTAATCTTAATATTACATGTAGGGAAACACAGTTGAACATGTTTAATTTCTCTAACTGTGAAAACAGCTGTTATGCTTGGCCAAGGGTGTGTATGTCTTAGCAGTCAGATCTTCATTTAATAAAATATACAACCCTGTGCAAGACATTTGTTCATTACGTTTATGAATGACTGCAAAAATAAGCAAAATATCTTGTGGTTCTACACCTGTGTACATGCCCCATCAGAAGTCTGTAGCTAGTACCGTTACCGGCTTTGACGCCCAAGCTAGGCAGGCAGCTCATTCTGATCACGTCAGCCTTTTCCCCATACAAGCTCCCAGTCCCACCAGCAGCCAATGACTTCCATCATCAATACCAAGCATAGGCAAGCCATTTAACTATAAACTTCTCTCCAACTTGACGACCCTGCTACCTGAACCTTAACACCAACCCCATCTCTATTCTCTTATCCTTAGTTTAGTGGTAGTTTCTCACCCCAAACCTAAAAGGTTGTTGTCAAGTGGAACATGCCAGGCTCAGGTGATAGATGAGTGTAATCACCCCATTCTGAATTCACACCCTATTCTAGCTCATATGTATCTGCAGTCCAATGTTCAAATCCTAAATCTACTCCAGACACTCTTTCTAGTAACAAAAATTGGCCTTTACCAGCACTTTTGGAACTGTACCTCACTCTCTGTTAGCCTGAATCTCTTCTTCCCTTTTCTGTATTCCACCCAGCCACTGAAGTCACAGACCTAAGTGCTGGCAGGTACCCGTCAGCACCAGTCCTTCACTTAGCCTGGCAGCACTTTTTGAACCTATAGCTTATTCTGAATTATATCCACGTCCCATGTGCTGCACTGCCCTGCACTGCTTTACACCAGCACTTCCTTACTTCACTTCACCTGTGAACACCTTGCTTTGAATTAAAAGATGCATCTGAGCATTTTAACCTCTGCTGATGCAGCTTCAACCTTTCCCTTAGAATTAGCACTTTTTGACCCTCCACCTAAAATAGCAGTGTAGCTCATCCAAGAAGCTTCAGAAATCATAAACTTATTCAATTTTTTTTATAACTTAAGAGAGTTGCGCTTTATTATGGTGGGGAACGGAGGGGGAATCAAACTCTCTTTTACTTTCATTTGAGATGCAGAATCCTACAGAACACTGACATATTGTTCTGGCACATCCAAACAGGAACACCATTTCAACCTGCCCTGTTCTGCTGCTTTTCTTGAAATCAATTAAAATTATTTCAGTAAGAGAGGGAGTATATGCTGTCACAGTACATCTGAAAATAGTGTGTACACTGGCCAGCACTGAAAAGAGTTACAGCTGAAATGCAGTAGAGGTGTTTTGCTGCAAAAGCTCATTCAGAAGGCATTTGCCAAGGAACAAGTCTGAAAGACTTTCCTTGAATTCCTGAAAGATACCTACAATTGCAACAGCAGGCATACTGCTCCTAAAGTCTGCAGTCACAGGTTTTCCTGACTTCTAACTACTCAATACCTCATCCCAGTTCTGAGTGCAAGCGCCTATGCTTATTAACTGCAGTCAGCCCTGGAAATGCACAGGCTGAATTTTCTTCCTAGTAATTCCCCTCCGTCTCTTCCAGTGTCCTTATTGTATAGATGTGTACAGTCATTAATTCATGAGTTTGAGGGTGACCTCTCTATCCCCAGAGCATATTCTAATTCTCTGTGTATTTGAATAAGAGGGACCGTCTAGGCCTCTAGTAACTAAACCATGATTAATAATTACGTGGTTTCATTATGGTTCAAGTCTCATATAAAAAAAATCTTAGATGTGGAATTACTTTATAGAAAAGGCAAGAATCTTACAGATCTGCACAGCTACATGGACTTTGGTGAAGTTTTGCTACTATGCCATCTCAGAACCTATCGGTTTGGATGGCTATAAAATGCATATATTATGATTTTTTAAAATGCTGTGTATACATTGTCATCCAGAATGTAATTTAATTATTGTATCTGGTGTGAAGATATCTAGGTAGATTCAGAATAAACAAAGTATAATATGAAAACTGAATTAAAGTAAAACTCTCTCATGGAGTAATATATGTCTTTTCTTATTAACATGATGGCGAAAAAAAAAAGGATTTTGACAAGATGGTGTTTTAATATCAGAAACACTGATACTGTATTATAAATTATTCTATCTCACCTTTTACTTTATATTTGTGTAGTCTTAAGAATTTGTGATTTTTCATCTCCAGGCATCCTTAAGTATGCTTGAGAACTAGAATAAATGCAAACGCAGAAGGCTGCTTGAACCTTAAGACCAAGGTCACTAAGAATTCACTAGGAAATTTCATTAAATTTCTCATGCACATTCTCTATTGTCATTTCAGCACATTTATGATAAGAATGCAGAACTGCCTGCTTTGAATGATGCTTCTACTTACTATCTACTGGCTTGCCTGTCTATATTAACAGTACATCGGATTTCAGAGGATAATACAGTCTGAAATGAAACTATCTCAGGATTAAAAAGATGATTCTTAGCCATTAATTTTCAATATGAAGTAGAACTACTTGTTTTTAGCTTAAAAATGATGAATGGGATTGGATTTAATGTGCTAATTTAATACATCATAATGATTTTATAAGCTGTAAATTTTCTTTCCAGAACACCTCGCTTCTATTTCTTGAAGAAAACATTCCCTCTTTCATTTATCTGGATGTGAATGCTAAACAAAGATAAATAACACACCACAAGTTTCCACATATCATCGCTCACCCCCACCTTCTGATACAGCAAGCTCTCTTAGAACTAGATTAAAAGAAAGAGCGTAATGTGTTAATAATAAAGGGCAGGAACTTGATTTTATGGGATTATGCTGAGCAAGTATAATGAACCAGACAATCCCAAGTATTTTGTCATGTATTTTGTATTCAATGAGATAGCCAAACAACCATTTTCCAAAAAGGAAGTCTACTGTTCATTTCTGAGGGTAAATATTTTGAAGTCCTTACCTGATTTAGGATCATAAAACCCTAATGAGAATCAGTATGGTTTAGCATGAGTTATTTAGTGCCTTGTTTTCAAAGGTAATTATGAACTAAGAGATACAGATAAGCATCCAGTGGGATCTTCGAAATACATGTCACTGTTCTCGACATGCAAATATTTTCTCTCTATGTGGGACAGAAAAGGACAGGAAAAAAAAACATGAGGTAAATTATATCTCCAAAATGTCACTCTATGTCAGAACAATTAAATTAGCTACAATAAATAAATACAGCTTGAAACACAGCAATATATGTGACATTAAAATACAAGGGTAAATTAATCCCTGAAATGAATTCCATAACAATCTAGATGTATGGAAAGGATCAGGATGTATGACATGATACTAATATATCATACACAGTGTGGTCTAAAAAGCTAGCACAGGTATTAGAGCTTTGAGCTAAGATGATTTTTTTTCAGGGCAAAATAAATATAAATCTTGAAGACACAGAAATATAACAGCTAAAGGTTATGCAACTAACACTCAAACTATACACTCAACAATTATAGTTTAAAATTTGAAATAACTCAATCAACCTGATTAGATTACGCTCCATCATGTGCATAAACCCAGAGAGCATCTAACATATATTTTTCAATTAAAAATGCTGTCTCTAACCATTTGATACCGATATTTCATAAGGCTTCTTGGTTGCAAACAATCACATCCATCTGTTTTGTTGGCAGCATGCTCAATCACAAGGTGCTTGAATCTTTTCCTTTTAGGCATCATCGCCAGAGAAATACAAAAACTTTGAACTGACAGTGTGACTGCATTCAGGAAGTACCAGGTAAAAGCCATCTGGATGGGACAATACAACATCAGGGAGAAAATAAAGAACAGAGGAAAGAATTTAATAACTCTAACAAATGTCATGCCTTTGCTTGAAGAAGTGAGCAAGCATTGAAAAGGGTCATTACTAGACAACAATAATGCTTAACGATACTTCCCAAGAGACATACATTGGAAATAATAGCACTATCTTATATTTCTTCCACAGAGCTGAAAACCCATTTTCTGACTTCTCTCTTGCGTGTGTGCATAGATATAATATAAATACACATTCATGTACAAAGTATATACATATGTATAGCATATATAGTATACACATGCATATAAGACATGTATAAACTATATATATACATAATTGTTACTGACAAGCCTTCTGTGGTTCACTACAACTACTGAGGAGAAAAACCTACTATGCTATAATGTCCTTTTGTTGTTTTGTCTCTTTCAGGGCAGGGGGGTAGTTGCTCAATGTTTCTGCATAACAAAACACATTTTCCTGCACAGTCACAAGAGAAAAAAGTCACACAAAATATTATGGCTCTTATTAAGAGCAAATCCATTAAGACAAGTTCATATGCTCTAGAAAACCATTGCAGCTCCAACCTTGAGTCTTTCTTCAAGAAGAATTAGGAGAAGGTCTTTACCCAGTCATCAGGTTTTCCATCCAGAGCTTGAAAATGCTTACCAGAAAATGAAACTGGGCATTCCTCTTAAGGGGATTATCCTGTGTGGTATTTATAGCTTGCCCTAGGTATCTCTCCTCCTTTGTGCCCTTTATTGATAGAGCATCCTCATTTGTGCTTCAGATACATTAATTTAGGGCAATGTGGGCCTAATTTCATGCATAGCAATGTGGACACAGGTAATGTTTTACTAAGGTGTCCAGGAGTCCTATCTTAGGTCAGTGAAGACCTAAAATTAAGCCATGCACAGAGAGCAGACTATTTTATCAGATTTGAATCCTGTGAAAACCAGGGAATCCCATGGCCAAACAAATAGTGTGCATTGACATTAAACAGAAAACAAAATCATTCCAGTCAGTAAGGACATTTGTTCTGTGATTTTGTGGAGGGTTTTTTTCTTGTATTTTTCCTTTTCTCTGATATGACAAACCTATTCCTTATAAATACTATAAGGAAATTAGTCTTAATCATTACTTCTCCTCAACCCATGTTTCAATAATATCTCTAAGGAGTTAACTGTTGCACTAGTCTGAAAGTGTTATGTAGGCATATCACAATATTGGTTTATTTTTCTTGCTACCCACAAGTATATTATTTCAGAATTATTTAAGCAAGGAAATCTCCCTGGATTTTGTGTTCTTTCTGTGCAAGTATCAAGACATCCTGCAAATATTTTATCAGCTATAAAATCTGTTATCAGGAATGCCAAATCATTTTCAGATGAATGTATTTCCCTTTATTCCACTGAACAAACTCAGCCTGAATTTTAGCCTGCACAGAAATTGTGATCCAGGGCGATTTTGCACTATTCTACAGCAATATGTTTAACTGTATGGAATTGTTTAAGTGCAACATCACTTTTTTAATGAGCCTACTTCAGCATCTTACAGACATGGTCTACAAAGGCATATTTCTCAAGACTGGAGAGGTATGGACAGAAAAGGACAGATGGTATCTCTGCAGAGGGGCACATTAGTAAGGAGCCCCTGGGAAGAAAGGAAGGAACAGTGGTAGGACTAGGCTTGGAGATGAAGTTGGAAGCAGTGGTAAGGCGGCAATGCCCAAGTGACTGATCACAGTACACTCAACCAGAGACAATCCCCAGGAAACACCTACCCAGCTCTCAGGGATTGCCCTGCGAAGGAAACAGGGGCGAAGGTCTGAATGGCAGCTGTGCAGCTCCCTGTGGCAGATCCCTGCCCTGTCTGACTCGAATCTGCTCACCGCTGCTCCATCCCCCCCCACCTGGGCCTGCCCCCACTGCTTCTTCCTGGCAGTGCTCCCAGCAGATAATCCGAAGCAACATACTGCTGCCTCAGGATACAGACCCTATTGCACTCAGGGCACACTTCTAAATTTTAGACCTGTCATTGTAAGGCCTGTTAGCAGAAAAGTTATATTTATTCCTGCAAGAATCAAAGTACAGATCTAAAAGATAAAGTGTGATTTATCTATCAGGGTTTTTTAATGAACTGTCAGCCATCAATGAGCAGATATAGAAGTAGCAAAATGTTCTGTTCACTGTGTTTTCTTTGTGGTGTTAGGTAAAAAAAGAAAATGACTTCACCAGCACTGATTCTGAAAATATTTTTCTACTCCTTACAAATGGCGTAGTATGGTAGAAGTTTGTCATCATTAAAACCAGCTACAATAAAGTAACTAAACACAAAATATGTAACCAAGTAGTTTCTCCAGGTCTAATAGTTTTACAAGCTATATCAAAGCAGACTTGTGCATAAAGTGACCAGTAATTTTGCTACACTGGGCAGTCACAGAACCAAAGATGAAAACTCCTGGTAATACAATATTTATTCATGTACAGTAGGCACTATAAATATGGAGTTTACCCATAATTATTTATCACTTCCCTAGTGATACAGTTCTAAGTTTTCCCTCCATCCATTCCCTAGGTTTTTTATTTCATTTACATATTTAAATCTCCATACAAAAGGAAGACCTTATAGACCTCTTGTTCTATCCTAGGAGACAGTTATTCCTCTCTATAGATATACCTAAGTCTTTCTTACTAGATTTATTTAATCTCACAGTTTTCAAGTTAAGGCACATATGCTTCAGAGCTCTTTTATAATGATTCTAATAATCTTAGATTATACATTTGCCTATAAAGTAATTACTTCTAAGTAATACCTTTCTTTACTATACACCTAAGAGGTTAAATCTACAGGAAGATTCTACAGAGTGCTAGGATGCAAATGTATTTTACTGGAATTCCAGATCTGTCCTAAAGTTTACTATTTGAGAAGTTCTATACCTGATAGGGGTGCATTTGATGTAATTCACAAGATGGCTAGCTAGAAAAAAATCTAAGCCTTGATGATTCAGCCTCCAGTAGTATTTTCAGTGTTCCTGAAGCCACAATAGCCACAAAAACTTCTTTAAAAATTTGACATTCTTTCCTAACAGTATTAGTAGGACACACAAAAAAAAAAAAAGTTAAAAATCTTGCCTATTCCTACAGTTCCTGCTTCTCTCCAAGTTTACTGAATATACAATTCTCCAAATACACATCTCAATGAGCTGAATAGATTTATAGCTCATAAGTTTTTCTTGTATTCCATAAAACCTGTTCCCTAAAACTATTTTTGTTTGTTTTTCACTAAAATTTGCTTGCTTTCAAGTAACTGTAGGATCACAAGTTTGGAATGCAGAGAAGGCAGAAGTTTTCAAGATGCATTTGCTAGATATATTACTTTATTCCATGACACAGTGGAAAAATTGTAATACTTACTGCCAGCTGAATGTCTTCCATGTCAGGTGAAAATTCCCACTTCCCTTCAATACAGGCTGAATCATGCCCCTAAAAATCAGTTTCTTACAGCTTCAGGTTATCTAATTGTGCTGAATGGATACAGGCACAAGGCCTCAGTAAAGCAGTCTATGACAGATAATTTTGCAAAAAAGTTCCTAAGTATTGGTTTCCTTTTTATTTCTTCCTCTGCACAGTCTGCCCAAAAAAGTAAGTTAATAGCAACAAAGCTCAGTATTTTCACATTCACTTATTGCTGCCTGGGTTTTGCTTTTTCTAGAAAAGTCCTAGTGAATATTCCTACCAGAAGAGCAAAGGAGCAGTGTTTAGAACCTCTACATTCAGTTTAGGAAGCACATTGTGTTACCAGATGTCACTGAGAGACTGAGCCCTGTGGGAAGAATTGTGTTCTGTCTGCGGCATTTCTCTCAGCTGTTTGGCCATGGGCTGCATCAAGGAGCATCCTCTCTGCCAACCACATTACAGTCTCCAGTGAGACCTGATCTAATTTCAGCAAGAACGGGCTTTATCCCTTTGATGAATGTGACTTGAATTGATGAAGACAATCAGGTCCCTACCACAGTCAGTGCTAAAGTGCCACTCAGTAGTATCTAATTGCAAGTACAGCAGCAATGAAATACTCAGATACAATCTTACCAAGGCATAAGAGATTTCTTAGCAAGCAAAAGTGCTTCACAGTATCTGCTACAGATATGGTTTGATGATACAACTACAATATACAGCATTAGATGTCACAAAGTGACAGTAAAATGTAAGAATGTTGATCAAACCAGAAAAAAAACCCAAAATCATCTGCATTAGAATGATATACTTTAGCTAAAGTAGTGAAACAGTAATAAATATTTAATTTTTAATTCTATTTTTATAAAATTAGTTCTTAGAGGTATCATTTAATTACTGCAACTTTGTGATTTCCATTTACTTGAAGGAATGTCCCACAGAATCTTCACAAGAAGCTCAATGTATGAAAGTCTCAGTTTACTTACCACAGAAGAGTTCTTAATCTATAATTCATCTATCTTGTTGATTGCTGTCTTTGTGAACTTCAAATTATATGGTTCTCTTCTTAGTCTGAAGGAAGATAAAACAATTCACCTTTTGTAAATACATTCATGAATTTTGAACCCATATGTATACAGTCTGCAACTACTTTAAGAAGGCATACAGTGCATCAAAATTAAATTCAGAACACAACTCCATCACTTTGACTATTGAAGCAGTATTTTCCAGCAACAAGATTATTTTACAAATATTGTATGTACATGCCAGTGTGAAATGATGACAGTGTTTAGCTATCTAGTAAGACTCTGTAATTCAGAAAACTTAACTGTGTTCTTCTGCAGTGTGACAGTGAGCTATGAGGATTGATTGTAACTGAGAGCGACATCTAATTTCAGCAGATTTTAGACCTTTCACCTCTCACATGCAGGAACACTGAATTCTGTTTTCTTCCTTAAATATAAAAGATGAGTCCCCCACAAAACATTTATATAGATTTCAGTTATCAAGTTCAATTCACTGATCAGATTTTTTTATAATAATGAACAATGATAATTATTAGACAGATCCATAGAAAATATAAAATTTTATAAACTGATATTTTTTAGAATTTTTTTTAAGTTGCTTTAACTTGAAGGAGATAAGCCTATATCTGAATCACAAATAGAAGGAATTGGGACCTATATCCAGAGAATTTGATGTGGAAAAACTGATATTGTTGATCACCTTCCAGTGTAAAGTTTAGGGAAGATATTGCTTCTGGCATCAGATCCTAGATTATGCAACATTATGGCACAGGTTAAGAGGTATCAGAAGATGTTTTATTAGATTTTCAAGGGTTTCATCAAAGAGATGGGAAATGAAGCAGTCTTGTAGGTAAGTCAGTGCTTTATATCCCACAATTACTTATTTACATGTGTAAAATTTTAATCTAAATTAGCTGGTCAGAATAAATGCATCAATACATTTAAGACCTCCTGGGGTCTTCTACTGATGATGCAAATTTTTGCCTTTTAACAGTTATGAAGTCAGCATTTACCATACAGGACAGACTTGTAAATACACTTACACTCAGACAAAAGATTAAATAATTTAAGGGCCTAGTTCTCTTCTGCACTATCTGCTTGGCTCCATTGATAACTCAAGATGTTTTAAAGCCTACAGCGGCTCAGCAAAATTTAGACAGCATCACTTCCCTCTGGAAAACTTTAAGTGACTGTAAATACAGCAACTCAGCTAAAGAATTTTTTAAAAGCTAAGCTTTCTGATAGTCTGTTGCCTCAGATGAAACATTGTCCATAGTAAACAAGACTAAACATCCTTATTAATCCACTGTTAAAACCTTTAATTAGATAGAAAATATGGCAAATGGATCACAATAGGGGTAGCTTGCTGTTTCTCATTACCAGCTTCAAATTGTCTGTCTTTCCTTGTTTTCTCAGACCATTGCTAATATCTTAGACATGGCTCTTGTGTGCAGCACCTAGTCATGGTTTCACTCAGTTGACCTTCCATTCCACAGAAAGTTCTTTTTGGATACTATAGAAGTTTCTTCTCTGAACTAGGTCTATTATTATTTATGTGAAATGTAGTGAAATGCTGTTTGAAGTGGTAAGTGAAAATAGAATAAAAGAGACAAGGGAATTATAATATTTTATAAAAAACAAATTCTTGGTACTTTATAGTGACAACTGATAGCAAACTATTGATGAATACTGAATGCCAGAGAAACCACACAGAACAAGACTAAAGAAATGATGCTACGAAGCATTGTTTTATCCCTATGCAGTTAAAATGTACCTTATTTAGAATTAAAACCCAGCACAGTTTCCCTCAGTCCTCATTTCTAATTTGGCCCACATATAAGAAACAAACCAACCATACTCTTTAATCCATGGCTGTCTGGTTCTATGTATGTAATGAATTCTTAGTCCAGTTATCAAAAGTGTTTTCACATCACAAATACGTTATCATAATTTATACAAGCTGTCATATCTGTCACATTCATTAATAAAGAATCCATACTTGTCCAACAGCTGTATTAAATGGAGATCTTTTGGAATCGGAGAGCTTCCACAGCATTATATAGCAGAAAGAACACAGCATTTTCTTTGCTACCATATTCCTGCTGTGCCACAGCCCCAGGGCTGCCAATGTTCAGGTTGGAAACTGGCACATCTTAAAAGTACTCACCTAATTTGGAAATTTTAAATAGCAAAACACTCTATTACTAACCAAATATTGGAGAGGAGGGAATTTTTGCAAAGATATGCTTTTGCAATATTTCATCTATACAGCTGTTGATTTCAAAACCAAAACAGGATACTATGAATTTAAGCTTCTTTCTACCTGAGTTTTGCAAAGCCCAGTGTATCTGTGTGGTGTATTTGAATGTGACCACTTTGATACAAAGCAGTAAGAGATCAACAGCAGCATCAACAGCCACATTGCCATTATTAATTTGCAATCAAACTCATGTTGCAGCACTTAGCTTAATAATGACATACTTACAACAAACTAGACCCTTGTAGTTTGACTAGACTGTTGACTGACACCTTTATAATTCTCCCTGAGTGTTCAGTCTCATCTGGATTTGATCTGACCTATGCCTTACCTCTGCTTTTAAGTTTTAAGCTTGTTTGAGTTTTTCAAAAACTCTGTGTATTCACAAAGTGTTCAGATGGACACACAACGTAAGAGTCAAGAGTATGACATAGTGTATAGCAGACAAATATAGCTAACAAAGCTTGGCATTTTTTAAGGTTCTTGGGAGTTCTTCCTCATGACAATGATCATGAAAAATACCTAGTTCTTATGAAGGGTCCAGATTTCTGCAATACCTCTGCTAACTTTAAGCCTCTGCACTCTTTCAGCACATGGATTA